AAGGTGTAATAGATCTCAGTGGCAGGTTTCAGTTGCACTGTGTGGGAGTTTTATCCATTTGAGAGCCGAGGTCAGTGTCTTTCCCCCACTCCAGTCAAGGTGTGCACATTTTTGTGGGCTCGGTGTAGAACCTGCTAGCTACCATTGGAGGGAGAAAGAATAACTTCCTCAATATAGCAGTCACTCTTTCCCTTTCCCTGGGGATGGGGAGACTTGAACATGGGTCAGAACTGGAGTAACTTAATGATGGGGGAGTGGGAAGAGCTGGGGAGGGGTTGGTTCAGTCTCTTCATGGAATTGATTTGTTAAGTTATTGGCCAGTCTGGAGAATGAATTAAAGAACCCATCGTTACTGTGGGCTCCACACTGTGGGAGATAAAGACACGTAGCCCCCGGCCCTTTCCCCCAGTGAGCTGGGAAGATAAGACATAACAGAAAGCAATAGATTTAGCAGAGTATAAGTTCCTTGAGGGCAGAGGCTGTTTTAGTACATTAATAAATGATTTTTGAATCCAACTATATAGCTTATTATAGCTAAAAATCACTGACTTTTTGGGTATTAGAGGCCAAGAGGATATGATAACTGCGGAGCTTTGTAGGACAGACTGTACAAGGTGGGGGTGGGGGGGGCAGTGCTGCAGAAGGGAGACACCAGTATGGGCCCACTTCCCAGGGCTTAACACACACACACGGGACGGGGTAGGGTGGTCCAGTTGGCCTTAGCTTTGTAGGCTCCTGGGACCTGGTATAGTGACCCTGGTGCCTCTTGCCAACTCAAACTTAAACAGATTCCTTCCAACTTTGAGATTCCTTGAAACCCTAAATTCTCCTTTTTCCCCTTCTGGTTCTTTTGCCATCATCATCACTGAGTTGGCGGGAGGTGTTGGGGAGTTAAGGGGGGATGCTGCTTCAGTCAGCAGTAATAATTTCTCAGTTCTAAAGAACCTGGGAGGTAATATGCACATAGGCTCCAGCAGGGGAAGGGGAGAGATGATAAATTTGTCTTGGTAACTGGAAGACCTGGGATGCCTGACCCAGTCAGTCAGTCAATCAGCATTTATAAAGTGCCTACTGTGTGTCAAGCCCTGGGCTAGAACACTGGGGATACAAAGAAAGGCAAAAGACAGTACCTGTGCTCAAGGAGCTCACGATCTAAGGTGGGGTGCTAGGGTGAGATAACAAGCAAACAACCATGTACAGGGTAAATTGGAAATAACCAGCAAAGGAAAGGCACTAGAATTAAGGGGGATCAGAAAAGGCTTCTTGTAGAAGGTGGGGTTTTAGCTGGAAACTGAAGGAAATCAAGCGATCTGGGAGGTGGAGATGAGGAGGGGGAACATTGCAGATTTGGGGGGTGGAGTGATAATGTCTGAGAACAGTGTCATGTACAAGGAACAGCAAGGAGCTTTGTACTGTGGCCAAGTTCTTGGCGATGGTGGTTTACTCTTTGGCATTTATCATCCACACTCCTCAGCTGAAGTAGCCACAGGGAAATAAGGTGGTATGAAAACTACCCTTGTAGTCAGTTTAGTTAACATTAATTAAGCCTTTATTGGAGAAAAAACATATTTGAGGTTAAGCTTAATGAAATTTCTACCCTGGATTCCTCCCAACTCCACCTATACATTTAGGGAAATTCCAGCTCCGAGGATTCCATTCAAATCCTGCATTCTGCAAGAAGCCTTCCGGTGTTATTATTCCCCCTACCCCCTACCCACCCTTCCAACACACACTGGTAGTGCCTTTCCTCTGAGCTTACTTTCCATTTACACTGGATATACCTTGTATGTACATAATTATTTGCCTGTTGCCTCTGCCATTGGAATGTAAACTCCTTGGACTGGGTTGTTATCTTTCTTTGTGAACTGCAAAGTCTTTAAAGGTTATGTGACCCGGGGCTACTAAGTATTTACTAGTAAGCATCTAGTAAATGCTTGCCGACTTTCAGTAGGGTCTTAGAAGGACTAGGAGGAGCCTCTAGCGTGGCTTCTGGGCACATTGAAACATGTGGGAGACTGATTTGAAGTCCAAGGACCTGGGCTGGAATCTCCCTTCCACTACTTAACTGCTTTGTGTGACCTTGGAAAAGCCCTCTACGACACTCAGTTTCTTCCTCTCTAGGATGGGAAATTTGGACTCGATGATCTTTTAAAACCTCTTCCAGCTCCCATTTCTTATGTTCACCCCACTACCTATTCACTTATCAAGCTTTTGCCAACTGACTTCTGACTTTTATCACTCTACTGAAAACTGATCTGAGCCACTAACCCCCGTGGCCTTTTCTCCTTGACCTTCTCTGTACCCTTTGACACTGTTGACTACTCATTCCTCCTAGATGCTCTCTCTCCTTGGCTTCAGCAATACTCTCCTCTCCTTGTTCTCCCACCTTTTTGATTCTTCCCAATCTCTTGTGGGATCATTCATCTTCTGACCCCCTTTGCATGAGTGTGCCCCAAGGCCAAGGCTGTCCTTTCTATATGGTATACATTTTCGAGGTGATTTCACATGCAGGTGACTCTCAGATCTTGATCTTTTCCCTGAGTTTCAGTCTTGGAGGCAACTCAAACTCAGAATATCTGAAACAGAATTGTTATCTTAACTTTGTCCACCCCAACCCTCCCATAATAATAACAATAAATAGCTAGCATTTATATAGTGCTTACTATATGCCAGGTATTGTGCTAAGCCTTTTACAATTATTATCTCATTTAGTCTTCACACAACCCTGGGAGGTAGGCATAATTGTAGGTGCTATTATTTTTCCTGTTTTTTTTTTCTTTTTTTTACAGTTGAGGAAACCGAGTCAAACAGGTTAAGTGACTTGCCCATGGTCACCCAGCTAGTCAGAGGCCACATTTGAACTCAGGTCTTCCTGACTCCAGGCTCAATGGTCTGTCTATCCATCATACCAACTCATTCTCTTTGTCCAAGTTTCCCTGTTACTGTTAGGGGTACTTTGTCCTTCCAGTCACCCAAATCATTCAGTTACAGGACCATAAATCTCTAACTGGAAGAAACCTTACAGAGGTTCTAACCTGTCTCTTAGAATGTCCAGTTTCCTTCAAAGTCCAGCTAAAACACCAGCTCCCATATGAGGCCTTTCCTCATCCCCCTAACCACTAACACCTCTCCTTTACGTTGAAATTACTGTGTGCTAATTTCATATATCTTTTGCATGTGTTTATATACTTATAGTTTGTCTTTCTTTATAGAATGTAAGCTTCTTGAAGGCACGGACCATTTTATTTTTGGATTTGTGTCCCCAGCACCTCACATAGTGCCTGACATGGTGGGAGATTAATTACTGATGATTGATCCAGCCTTTCTTTGGGAGGCACTGTTAATTCTGGAGAATGTCAGCCAACCATGCTTTCACTCCTCAACTGAAATGCTATGGTGTACACAACAGTGTGTGTTCATTTTGGCGGCATGTTGAAATGGATAGACACCTAAAATCCAAGACAGAAAAAGCTGGGTTCAACCCCCATCTCATAGAAGGTATATGATCCTGAGCAAGTCAGATAACCTTTCTGAGCCTCAGCTTCTTCATCTGTAAAATGGGAATAATAAAGGCACTTTATCTCACAGGGTCTGTGGGATCATAACTCTAGAACTTCTAGGAACTTAAAATGCTACTAGTTCAGCCCCCTCATTTATTATATGTCAGCCCATCCCAGCCCAGGACTGGGAAGTCCTGAGTGGAAAACACATTTGTAAAGGGGCTGGGAGGGCATTATCAGATCCTCCACATCTGAAGCTGTTACTGGGTTCAGGGGAGAAAGTCCTGCTGCCTATTAGCACGGATGTTTTGAGGAGGGGGAGAGGGCTGAAAATACAGGCCACTACAGGAAAAATGAATGGCTGTCATCTTGCTCTCTCCCTCTCTATCTCTACCCCTTTTCCCCTTTTTTTCTCTTACTATGAGTTACATTACTACCCCCCCCCCCCCCCCCCCCCATTTCCCAAACCACCTTGCTAGCCCGTGTTTTTTTCTCTTTGGGAAGGCAGCTAGCAAGCCTCTGTGCTCCACCTGAATTATATTAGCAATTATCTCTGCTTAAGAGTGTTGAGATGAGCCCTCCCCCCTTGCCTCCACCCCTTCCATCCAATGCTTTATTCCCCTCACAAACTGTGTTCTCAGCTCAGTTAGGACCCAGACCTTCTCTGGGAGGAAGGGGGGCAAGGTACCCCAACTTTTGGGGACAACAGGGAGGCTTCATTGCCCTCTGCATAGGTCTGTCTTTTGGAAGAAGAGTCTAAGGCAGGAATTGGGAGCGGGGGAAGGGGTGCAATGTAGGCATTCCTGGAAATAGCCCTGGCCCAGGAGATTTGGCCTAGAATTCTGACTACCACTTCCTAACGTTACGACCTAAGGGATAAATCCTATCACTTCACTGGGTTTTAGCTTGTTTCTCTGTAGAATGAAAGTGTTTGTGACAGTATGGGTCAATTTGGCGTCAGAAGACCTGGTATGAATTCAGGTTCTGCTACTTAAAACTCATGTGACCTTGGACAGGTCACTTAATCTTCAGGCCTTATTTCCCATTTTAGAAAGTGAAAGGATTGGACTAAATGAGCTATTAAGAAATAAAATCCCATCCGGCTCTGAGATTCTCTAGCACGGGTTTCTTAATCTTAGGTTTGTGAGCCTGTTTTTTAAAAAATGATAACATGGGGTTACAAAATGTATTTCCATATAATTGGTTTCTTTTGGGATCCTATGCCTTTTCATAAATGCATTTAAAAACATTGTTTTGAGAAGAAGGGGTCTAAGACTTGAAAAGGGTGAATAGTAAGCTCCAGATTCTGTGGGGTCCTGAATCTATTTTGATAAGGAAGCCTTTTCAAGAGCTAGCCTATTGAATCCCAGGTGTCAGGCATTTGGACTTTACCTAAGAGAGGAAGAAAGGGGGATGGTGGTGTCAGCAGGACGTAGAAATTCCCTCTAGGGATCCACCTACTGCTTCCTCTCTTACCTTTGCCTTTTCCTTCTCCGCAGAATGATCTCACGTACCCAGCTGGTGCAGAGTGTGCTCCAGGAGCTCCAGGAAGCGGCTGAATGCTTTGGCCTGGAGGGCCTGACCAATGCAGCCCTGGAAGCCAAGAAGACACTGTCTTCCTTCTCTCTGCCCAGTTGCCGCAGTGGGGACCAGTTCCAAGGTGAGATGGATGTGGACTCAGTGGCTCTCAGCCTGTATCCAGAAGATGCCCCCAAGAACATGCTGCCCTTGGCATGCAAAGGGAAGGGGAGCCGTCTGTTCGAGGCGGCCAGCGTGTTGCTGTGGGGCGGGCCTGGCCTGAGCCCAGAACTCCGGGCCCGTACTGTGGTGGAGATGTTGCTGAACAAACATTACTATCTCAAAGGCATGATTGACTCCAAGGTGATGCTGCAGGCAGTCCGCTATTCTCTCTGCTCGGAGGAGACCCCAGAGATGACCAGCCTTCCTCCTGCTACCTTGGAGGCCATCTTTGATGTGGATGTTAAAGCTACATGCTTCCCCGACAGCTTTGCCAACGTGTGGCACCTCTATGCCCTGGCGTCAGTTCTCCAACACAACATCTATTCCATCTATCCCATGTGGAACCTCAAGATCCGGCCCTATTTCCACCGGCTGATCAGGCCCCGCTGCTGTAACCAGCCCCCCTCAACTCTGCACATCATGTGGTCGGGGCAGCTGCTGGCAGGCCAGCTGCTGGCCAGCCAGGTGTTCAAACCAGAGTACTTCTCTGCTGTGGTGGGACTGGAGGAAGTAGAGTCAGAAATGGCCAGCCCTCCTCCTCCTCCTGTCCCCCCGGCAGAGACGCTGGAGTTGCTGAACCGAGACCCTCAGCTCACCTACTCTCATCTCCGAGAGCGCTACAGCATCACCAAGAGCACCTTTTACCGATGGAAACGCCAATCACGTGAACACCGCCAGAAGGCAGCGACGCGCTTTGTCGCTAAGCACTTCCTCCAGTCGTGTTTCCAGGATGGCAACGTGATACCTTTGCAGCGCTTCCGTCAGATGTTCCCCGAAATCTCGAGGTCTACTTACTATGCCTGGAAGCATGAGCTTCAGGGTACCTCCGAGGGCGGCGTGAGCAAGGATCCCATGTCTGAGACCTCCCTGGAGATGGAAGAGTTGGAAAAGCTGTCAGCAGAGGGGAAAAAGAGCCGTCCGCCGGACCCTGGCCCAACGGGGGTCTTCATGCAGGGAGCAAAGAGCTATCTGGAGCGCTGCATCTCCATGAACACACTGGTACCCTACCGATGCTTCAAACGTAGCTTCCCTGGCATCTCGCGCTCTACCTACTATAACTGGCGCAGGAAGGCTATCAAGGGAAACCCCAACTTCAAGATCCCACCGCCCCTTACAGGGGGGAGCCTTCATCCTCCCACTGGGGAAATCTTGCAGCCTGGGAAGGGCATTGCCATCAGGAAGGGGCTGGCTGGGGTGCAGCGGAGCTCCCGGGGGCTCTTGGCCCTGAAGCCCTCCCTAGCCAGGTGGCAGAAGCGATTACGCCGGGCTGCCCGGAGGCAGGTCCAGAGTAGGGGCCTTCCTTTCTGCCGATTCCGCCTCCGCTACCCCAGCCTGTCACCCAGCTCCTTCTGGCTCTGGAAGAGCATAGCCAAAGGCAGGCCTGCCTCTCGATACAGCTTCCCCTCCCAGATCCCTAGCAAGGGGGTCCTGGGAGCCGTGGGGAAGGCAGAGGTGGGAGAGAAGCCAGTGGTGCCAATGATCCAGAAGGAGGGAGCCCCCAGGGAGGATCGCTCTCTGGGGCCCTATCATGGCACCCTGTCTGGTTATGCAGTGGCAGGGGGTGCGGTCAACGGCGGTGGAGGCAGTAGTAGCAACGGCCGGGTATTCGTCATGGATGTGATTGCCACGACCCAATTCAAGGCCCAAGCGAAGCTCTTCTTACAACGACGTTTTGAGTCGAAGACTTTCCCCTCATATAAGGAGTTCAGCAGCCACTTCCCTTTCACAGCACGATCAACTTACTACATGTGGAAGCGAGCCCTCCATGATGGCCTCACCCTAGTTGATGCCTAAGAAGGGAGGGCAGGAGTGGCCCATGCCTGGGAAGCATGCTAGCAGCAAAGAGGAGCTAGCTCAGAGGTTAGCTGACCCGTCCTATCATCCTCCCAGGACCCCTTTGGTCTGGCAGTCATGATCATCTTCCCTCCCCTCCCAAGAGAATATTGGCTGTACTTCTTTTCCCCTGTGGCCCTGGTACAAAGTCCCAGGAGGTGGCTGGCTGCTTTGCCCACATCTTCATTGCTGTGAGATGTAAGACGCCTTACCCGTTTTGTAATCTTTGTTTTTCTCATTTTTTATTTTCAGGTTCTGTTGGCCCTCCTGGAAAGGAGGAAAATGAAACTGGTGGGGAGGGGCCCGCTGAAATGGATGCCCACTTTCTCAGGGACTTTAGAGAATGGTGAAGGGGGAGGGGGTGGGTTGCTTGAACTTGATGGTCGGAAGGCTTATCTACTTCCTACTTCTGCAGTTTGAGGAATTTTTTTAAAATTAGTTGTCCCCTCCAGACTTCCCTGCTCAGACAGACCCTGTTGGGTATGAGCAGGACTGAAGGAGACGGGGGTATTGGTGGTGGTGCTGGAGTCTGGGCAGAGAACTGGAATGTATGCGCCTCCCAGGGCACAGCAGCTTCTGCAGTATGGTGGTTTTGCCTACCCATGCCTAATGTATTTCCCTACCATGGACCCCCGAACTTAGGAGAACTCTGCCGGGTTCTAAGTGCCTTGATCCCCTGGCATCTCACTAAGCTTGGTCAAGCTGCAGTGGGAATATAGTTGGTTTATTTTTTTTTTTTTTTGAGGGGGTGGGGGATGAAGAGTGGTTGAAAGCTGTTGCTACTGTGACTTGGCTTCTGAAGGTGAAGGCATCAGGCTGGGATCTAAATCCTAGCATGTCTGGAGGCTGGTTCACTTCTATGGGGTCAATGTGATGCAAGGAGCTGGCACGTGTTTTGGGGGTTAGCTCAGAGGTGCTGAAAGCTGGCCCCGTAGAGATAGCAGCTTGGCCCTAGCCTCTTTGCTTCCTTTTCCCCCCACCACCTTTGCTGAGGGTGGCAGGGGGTCCAAATCAGCCTAACCCATTGGGTGGGGAGCCAAAATCTTCCTGGGGTTGGGGGGGAGGCAAGAATGGTGTCCAGCTTGGCCTAGCCCAATGGTCAGGGAGCCAAACCCTTCCTGGGGAAAGGGTTCCATCAATTCTCCCAGCAGCAAAGTTGGACATCTGCCTTCTTTAACTAGATGTGTTTCCAAGAGATCACATCCCGGTTGCCATTCAGTGATGCTGCAGGTACAATAATGCCTCGGTGTTTATTCCCCTGGTCCTCCTCTTCTACCTTTCCTCCTGTCTCTCAGCAAGGTCTCCCAGCTCTGTCCACAGAGCAGTAGCCCACCAGGCCAGAGGTGGGCTCTTCCAGGCAAAGGTATGGGACCACTCCATTGCATACATGAAGAATAGGTTGGGGTTGGGGGAGGGAGGGTGTTGAAATTATTTGTCTGACTGGTGAATTGTAATGCAATAAAAAGTACGGTTTTTTTTTGCCTTCAGTCTGTTGCCTCTGTGCCCCCTTTTGTTGAACCTGTGTGCTCTGAGAACATTAGGCAAGTTATTTGACCCTAGTTAGGCCTGTTTCCTCACTTGTGAAATGAAGGGTTTAGATGACTGAAGCATCCCTTTCAGCTTAAATGCTACTATGCCTCATTCACTCCTATCCTATGGCTGGTTGAAGAATGAAGGGGCTAGGCTTTTCCCAGTCACTGGTCAACCCAGCAGCCTGGGAACCAATTGCTGTGGTACCTGAACCATGTTTTAAATCAGCTGGGCCCCAGCTTTATCTTCAGAGCTCTTGCCTCTGAGGCTCGCCATAGGGAACCCAAGGACAATTTGGGGGATGCCGTCTTGGCCTGTCACCTTGATCAATGTGGGCATGAAGGGATAGCCAGGCTTATAGTCATGCTGTAGTATTAGGTTTGAAGTGGGAGAACCTGGGTTCAAAATCTGGCTCTGCCACTGTGCAAGTCATTTATTCTCGGGCCTCCCTTGCCTCATCTTCAAAATTAAGGGGTTGGACCCTATGACTTCCTGAGGTCCTTTGTGGTGCAGAGTAGGCTTGCTGGCTAGGCTGGTTTTCCTTGGTTCCATACTCTTGCTACCTGCACGGGGCCAGTAGGTGGCACTCTAATGCCAAAAGAAGGGAAGCAGCATAAGGGGGTGCTATTTATTAGTGGAATCTCCCCCACCCTTGGCCCAATTTCCCACATTCTCTTCTGTTTGGAGAGAAACCTTCCCCATGTTTATGCTGAGGTCCAGACCTTGGAGCCCCAAGGACTAGCCCTGGTAATATCAGAAAAATGGCAGCTGATGGGGCATCTTTGGGAGAAGCTCATAATAGGGCTTAGAGGCCTTTGAGTTCAAACTCCTTTGTTTTACAGATGAGGAAACTGAATGAGAGGTGAAAAATATTCTCACAGTGCCACAACTACTAAGATCCTGCAGCAGCATTTGAACTGGAGTCGTCTTGACTCAAAACTCATCTCCCAATCTGCCCTGTGCCCACACCTATAAGAAGGCTGGGGGAAATTCCCCTGCTACACAGCTTGGCACACCTCTCCACAAGTTCACGGAGTGTGTATCACCTCCCCTTGCTAGATTTCCTTCCCTTTAGGAGGCTGACTGAATTTGTGGCTGCCCCTTTGTTTACATTGGGATGATGAGAATTTCAGGGGTCTGGGTGTTGAGATTCATTTGGGAAAGGAAGGCTCCAGGGTGAAAGATGCTCTAACCCAGGGGTGAGGAACCTGTGGCCTTCTAGTCCTCAAGTGCAGCCCTTTGACTGAATCCAAACTTACAGAACAAATCCCTCGATTTGCGAGTGGCCTCAAGACCGCAGGTTCCCCACCCCTGCTAACCCTTCTGTTCTCCACAGTCAGAATCTTCTCTTGTCCCACTGTCTTGGATGGTGGGAATATTCTATACAATTTTTTCCCTCAAGGTGGGCTCTTGTTTTGGGAAAAGCTGTATTGCCTTAGGCAAGTCACCTATAGGGGTGAGAGAGAAGACACATTTCCTTATTTGTAAAACGAAGGGTCTGTACTCAGACCTCTGAAGTCCCAGCTCTAAAATGGACTTGGAATTTAAAAAAAAAAATCTGAGTTTTCATCCTAACTCTGTCTCTTACTAATTGGGTGGCCTTGGACGGCACAGTTAATAAATATCTCTAACTCTGCTTCCCCATCTGTAAAAACAAGGAGAACAAAACCTGCCCCCATTTACCTCACAGGGCATCTGTGAGGAACAAGGAGAGTGGTGGTGTGTATGTGACAGTGTTGCACAAATGTATGGTGGAGGAGGGAGAACAGCCTTTAGGGAAATGAGCAGCTGTAAGTAGGCTTAACATTGGGGGAATTTTTTTTTCCCTCACGGAAAATGGCTTTGAAAATAGTATGAAATCCTCTTAACTCCAGCAGCTCTTTCCTGCTAGGCTGGGAGAGCTGGGAGGAAGGAGATAGGCAAATCCCACTCAGCCTAGGGGGTCATCAGCTCTGGTGGCAGTCTCCAACGGAGCCATGCCTTCTCCACTCTAGCCTGAGAATAATAGTACCAAAAGCTAGCATTTAGATATGTTTTCAGATGGTCCTCCTACACACCCTGAGGTAGGGGCTGTGGTTTATCTCCACTTTACAGATGAGGAAACTGAGATGCAGAAAGTTAAGTAAGTGGGTCACACAGCTAGTAAGTGTGTGAGATAGCATTTGAACTTGGATCTTCTTGAGAAGTCCAGCTGATAGGGAAGAAATACTCATTGGAATGCCAAGGGAACATAGTTGGATGGAAGACAAGGGGTATGAAGCCAGGCAAACACTGCATAAGGGAGAGGAGGTTTGGGCGGAGGGTTCTGCTGGTCCAGATTTTTAATCTGTTTTGGGGAGTGTGAGTAGGAAAGAGCTGGTTCTTTTCGTTCTTTTTGCCCCTTCATTCTTTTTTCTCTCCCAGCCTGTGAGGGAGGTTCTTGGCCATCCCTCAAGCCAAGAACAGTGATCAGTGTGCTTTGATATTTGGCAAAACTAGGTTTATTAATTCCCTCACCCTGCCATATGTAGCCCCCAGCTTCATAGATAGAAATATGACAAATTCCTTAGGGGAGGGAGCAGAGTAAGCCCCATCCCCTCCCACGACCCTGGGGACAGGCAGGGATGTGTCAGTGGCACCTATCAGACCTTGAACTGTTGGCTGGTAAGGGAGAAAGATGGGTATTGAGAGCCTGAGGTTTGTAATTGGCCCAATTTAGCATCACAATAGCATAATACAGTTTAGAGCAGGGACAAACCTTCACAAACCCTCTTCATGTTGCAGATGAAGACACAAGTCTATTGAAGTTAAGTGACTTATCCAAGGTCACACAGGTGGTATCAGCTGGGATTTGAACCCAGATCCTCTGGCTTTCAAGTCCATCTGTCTTTCCTCTGCACTACTTGGGGAAGCATTTGGGTTTTTAATAGCATCTTCCCCTTTTCCACCTATCATTATGGTCCCTGGCTTCCCCCAGACTCATTCATCCTAAGTGACTCCCCTAGATCAGATAGAGAAATCCTTGGCAAAATTGTCAAGGAGGCAAAAGAGTTCTTTGCCTCAGTCTAACCCCAAGGGGCAGCTAGGTGGCAAAGTATATAGAGACTGGAGTTAGGAAGACTCATTTTCCTTAGTTCAAATCCAGCCTTAGACATTTACTAGCTGTGTGACCCTGGGCAAGTCACTTCATCCTGTTTGCCTCAGTTTCCTCATCTGGAAAAATGAGCCGGAGAAGGAAATGGCAATTTATTCAAGTATCTCCGTCAAAAAACCCCAAAATGGGTTCATGAAGAGTCAGACTGAACAACAGCAACAAATATGTCATGCATTGGAGAAAATGACGAAAAATGACCCCTTCCTTCAAAGAACCTACGTTCTGCGTGCCAAGTGTACAGGCCAGGAACGTGAATGGTGGAACATGGGAAACTGTGACTAGGGCTAGATATTTTGAA